GCACAGGCAGCTCACTGCTGAGTTCGGGGCGTAGCTCTCTGCCTTTAACCACTCAGGACACTCATGGCTACTGCGTGAGGCTCGAGGGCGGCGAGGTGAGCGTCCGAGGCCCTCAGGCTGGTCGCCCGGCACCCAGGAAATGGGACTGTTGTGATCATGATCGCTGTTAGAATAAAGCGAGCTGGGAGGCAACGCAGGAGGCAAGTGCGGTCTTACGGGACATGACGTGACACTCACACAAGGCTGCCGACACTCGTCACAGCATTGCAAGGCTTGGCTGCACGCCCACGGGTCACACCACCTATTTTTTATTTATTTTTTATTTCTGAGAGAGAGAGAGAGAGAGAGAGACAGTGTGAGCAGGGGAGGGTCAGAGAGAGAGGGAGACACAGAATCCGAAGCAGGTTCCAGGCTCTGAGCTGTCAGCACAGAGCCTGACATGGGGCTCGAACCCACGAACCGTGAGATCATGACCTGAGCCCAAGTCGGACGCTTAACCAACTGAGCTACCCAGGCGGCCCCCCCTGCCTATTTTGTAACCCCTGCTTCACTTCACCCTACTTCTGTGACTTCCAGGAGGGGATATGTTGGATTTTATTTATTTAAAAAGTTTTGTTTTTGTTTTTGTTTTTTTCTCTTTTTTAATTAAATTTTTAAATGTTTATTTATTTTTGAGAGACAGAGTGTGAGCAGGGGAGGGGCAGAGAGAGGGGGAGATACAGAATCCGAAGCAGCTCCAGGCTCTGAGCTGTCAGCACAGAGCCCCACACGGGGCTCGAACTTATGAACCACGAGATCATGACTTGAGCCAAAGTCAGAAGCCCAACCAACTGAGCCACCCAGGTGCCCCTAATTAATTTTTTAAAATTTACATCCAAGTTAGTAGCATATAGTGCAACAATGATTTCAGGAGTAGATTCCTTAATGCCCCTTAACCATGTAGCCCATCCCCCCCCACAACCCCTCCAGCAACCCTCTGTTTGTTCTCCATATTTGTCTCTTACGTTTCGTCCCCTCCCTGCTTTTATATTATTTTTGCTTCCCTTCCCTTATGTTCATCTGTTTTGTATCTTAAAGTCCTCATATGAGTACAGTCCTATGATATTTGTCTTTCTCGGACTGACTTCACTTAGCATCTTACTGTCCAGTTCCACCCACGTAGTTGCAAATGGTCAGGTTTGTTCTTTTTGATTGCCGAGTAATGCTCCAGGGTACGTATACGCCACGTCTTCTTCATCCACTCCCCCACCGGTGGACACGTGGGCCCTTTCCGTACTGTGTCTATTGTCGACAGCGCCGTTATAAACAGTGGGCCGCGTGTGCCCCTCTGAAACAGCGCGCCTGCGTCCCTTGGATAAATACCTAGTACCGAAGCTGCGGGGTTGCAGGGTGGGCCTCTTTTTAATTTTTTGAGGAAACCCCATCCTGTTTTCCAGAGTGGCTGCCCAAGGTTGCTTCCCCCCCAATTTTTTAATGACTATTTATTTTTGAGAGTGAGAGAGCAGTGGGAAGGGGTGGACAGAGAGGGACAGAGAGAATCCCAAGCAGGCTCTGCACCGTCAGCACAGAGTCGGATGCGGGGCTCCATTTCAGAAACCGTGAGATCATGACCTGAGCAGAAATCAAGAGTCGGATGCTTAACCGACTGAGCCACCCAGGCGCCCTGATATATCGGATTTTAAAATCGGAGCTATGGTTCTTTGCCAAGTTGTTGGTTTATTCATTTGGTGTTTCATTCAATTAGTATGTTTTGACCACCTACTGGCTGAGCCCAGTCTCTGCGGTGCTGAGTGTGAACTGGGGACAGGACAGAAGGTCGCCCCTGCCACAGAGCTGACGGTCTAGAGGGACAGGGCGGCGTAGACCTGCCAGCTTCCACGGTGGTGGCTGGTGCAGAGGAAAGTGAGTCGGGTGTGGGGCACCGCGTCAGCAGAGGATGTGAGGGTGTGAGCCATGCAGCTGTGCAGGCAGAGAGGGGGCAGGTGTGAAGGCCCTGGGGTAGGAGCCTGCTGGGCGTGGCTGGAGAGCTGCAGGAAATGAAGTCATCCAGGAACACATCACGATGGACTTTCTAGGGAGGGACTTAGTTTTTACCCTGAAGCAAGGTGTAAGCCAAAGGGCCCCCTCTTTGGCCAGGAGAAGGACAGGGTGTCACCAACGTTTCACTGGGTCCTTGCTGGTGGCCGAGGTTGGACTGAAGGGGGCAGCGGTGTGCGGCTGAGGCAGGGAGAGGGGGCTGTGATCCTCCTGTCCTACTTGGGGGTATATGGCTGGTATTGGCACTCCCGGCCCCCTGGACTGGGGGCCCCGCTCCCCGCCTCTCCTGCGGACTGCCCCGGCACTGAGCGCAGAGCCTCTGTCGCTAAAGAAAACGGCCATCAGTGGCTGTGTGAAAGGCGGGCCGGGCTGAGGTGCAGCCTCGCGGGTAACATTCCCTTGTGGTCTAAGCTCACCTCCAGGGTGCCGTGTCCCTAGGATGTCAGGGGAGCTGGACCCCCTGGCGGTGTGCCACAGGCAGGTGTCCTTCTAACTGGCACACGCTTTGAGCTGGGACAGTCTGGACCTGCTTTTCACACCCACACCTGTGTCCGGAGATGGTCTCTGCCAAGTTTCCACTCATTCATTCATTCATTCATTCGTGTCCAGCCTGCCTGCAGACTCCCCAGGACCCTGCGAGATACACGTCCCCGTGTCCTGATGGGATATTGGGAATGTTGAGGGGCTGTGGCTGGCTCAGGACCGCACAGCAGCGAGGTCTGGGTCTCCCGACTTGACCATTCTCAAGGTTAACCCCCAGATTCCGCGGGTAGCAGGGCAGCAGGCTGCCCACCGAGGGGCAGTGCCCTCTGCACCCACCAGGGGGCAGCAGACGACCGTCTGCTTGGGTGGCTCTGGGTTCATCATCTGGGTTGGGTCTCTGCCCAGGCCATGGGCATGGAAGGCCATGAAGGGCGGTGAGGACAGAAGCCCTTTTCTCACTAGTCCGTTACCTGTGGGAGAGGGACACAGGCATTAAGGGGGCACCATGAATAGGGCACCCCAGGTGAAGGGCTGCGGGAGCCGGGTTGTGCCCCAGGCCCTGTGCAAAGTCTCTGGATGATGTCCTGTTTGCCTCCCACAAGCAACTCTGGTGGGGTGCGGGGCTCCCCATTCTACAGAGGGGCACCGCACGGGAAGGTGCCTGCACAGGCTCTCCGAGCGGGATGGGGAGCTGGAGGGGCTGGGGTTCAGGCTGTGGCCCCATGTTTCCATTTCTCAGGGTGATGCTGGAGGGATTATCCACTTTTGCTTCAGGCCCGACAGGCTCAATCCTACCCTGTGAGTCAGGTTCCCCAAGGTGCCTGGAGGGGTCGTCAGAGGAAGGGTAGCTTGGAGCTCCCTGGCCCCTTGTCCCCATAGTACGCCTGTGTGGCTCCTCCTCACGGGTCCTGGGGTGTGCCCCTCCTCCCCCCTCCTCCCTACTTGTCTCCCTGGGCCAGCCCCAGCCCCTCCTCCCCCCTCCTCGGCTGGGGAACGGGCAGGTGAGACCTCTGCAGAAGGCCTGGGGGATTCTCTGCGCTCACAGTGAGCTGGGGTGGCGCCCAATGGAAGAGGGGGGCGGGGCCCTGGGGCAGTGAACGCGGGTCCAGAATTCGACCAGGAGAGTCCAGAGAGGGCGGCCTCTCCGACACTGCCCCCACCCCACTGAGGGCTGAGCCGCTCGGGGAGGGGCTGCGACTTGCCCAGGGTGGCCCAGCGCATCCTGAGCTGAGCCAGGATCCACATCACTTCATCGGCAGATTGGCTCTTCAAGTCCTTGAAGCAGCGTCGCTGTCGCGGGAGGCCAGCTGCTGACAGCGCGCCCCCCACCCCAAGGCGTGGCTCAGGGCGGGGTCAGTGGACCCTGAAGTCGGGGAGTGGCCTGCCTCGATCCAGAGCCCAGGGAACTCTGGCCTCACCACCAGCCCTCCCTCTCACTCACTTATCTCGAATATTCCATCTTGGACGCCAGGGTTTGCCCTTTGGGCAGCTGCAAGCGGCCAGGCCTCTGGGTCATGAAGCAGGGGAATCCCAGCCTTTGTGCGGAGTCGCCTGTGGGCTGGGGGGCTTCTTGCGGGTCCCCGGCCAGAGCAGAGGATTAGATGGGGGTTCTGGGCGCATGCCCGGCCCGTGTGCCTCCGGCATCGAGTTATCCCTCGGGGTCGAGGTGACGCGGGGGGCCTCGGCCCAGCCGGTGCCCCCTTCTCGAAGGGCCGTGAGGAGGTCCCCAGCACGAAAGGGGCCACAGTCTGATCGCCAGGAGCGGAACGCAGGGCCAAAGCAGAGACCGAGACCCGGCAACCCCTCCACGGGCTAGGCCGCTCGCCCAGGGCGCAGACCTCCCCAAAAGTGCGGGCGCCCGCGGACCGGGGGGGCGGGCCCGGGGCGGCGCCGCAGCCCCCGCCCTCCGAAACTTTGGCGGGCGGCGGGGCAGGAAGTGGGGGGGCGGGGGCGGCGTCAGGCCCGCGCGCTGGCCCCGCCCCCGCCCCGCCCCGCCCGTGGCCGCGCCCCCCGCACCCCCCCCCCCGCCGCCCCGCGTCCCCGCACCCCGGAGCCACCGAACCTCCGAGTCCGAGCGCCGGGCACCGAGCGCGGAGCCCGCGGGCGGGTTGAACAAAGCGGCGGCGGCGAGGGTGGCCCAGGCCCCGGACGCGCCGAGCGAGCGACCCGCCGGCCCTTTGTCTCGGGCGGGGCAGGAGCGGCGGCAGCCGCGGGGCGGCCCGAGCGCAGCATGCGGCGCCCCTCGGGGCGGATCGCGAGGCGCTGCGGCGGCGGGCGGCGTGGAGCCCGGCCCGGGGCCCGGGGGCGCTCGCGCGCGTGAGGGGGTCCGGCGCGCGGCGCGGCGCCCGCCCCGCGGCCGCACGTGGGAGGGAGCGGCGGCCCGCGAGGAGCCGGAGGAGGAGGAAGAGGAGGGGACGCGCGGCGGCGCGGCGGGGACCCGGGGCCGCCCGCGCGAAGCCCCGCCCCGGCCGCCGAGCCCGCGCGGGCGGGCGGGATGCCCCGCGGCCGCCGCACTTCGGCCCGAGCGCTGCCCTGAGCGGGGCCGGCCGTGCGGCCGCCGCGGGCGCCATGGAGCAGTGGCGGCAGTGCGGCCGCTGGCTCATCGACTGCAAGGTCCTGCCGCCCAACCACCGGGTCGTGTGGCCCTCGGCCGCGGTCTTCGACCTGGCGCAGGCGCTGCGCGACGGCGTCCTCCTGTGCCAGCTGCTGCACAACCTCTCCCCCGGCTCCATCGACCTCAAGGACATCAACTTCCGGCCGCAGATGTCCCAGGTGAGGGGCCGCGCTGGGCAGCCGCGGGGAGGGCGTGGGGCGCGCCCCTGGAGGCGCGAAGTTGGCCAAAGTCCCCCAAGCCCCGGGCGCGCCGCCGCCGCCCGAGGGCAAGGCCGGGGAGCGCCCCGGGCGGGTCTGCGCCTCCCGGGTGAGGGAAGACTCGAAGCCGGGCGGGGCGCCCGCCGCTGCCGCCCCCTGTCCGCGTGCGCCGCGGCCCCGGGGAGCCCCGCCACGCCCGGGGGCCTCGTCCGGCGTCGCGCCCTCGGGCTTCGCGCCTGGTGGACTGGACCGTGGACGACACGCCGGCGCGGCCGGAGGGAGCGGGTGGGCTTGGGGCGCCGCCTCTTGGACGGGGCCGCACAAGTTGGTGCGAGCGGGAGCCCCCCGTGGCTCCCCGGTCACCCTCGAGTGTGGCCTTTGTCGTGGCGGAGCGCGTGTGGCTGCAGGCCGGCAGGAAAATGTCTGCGCGGCTGGCGGGAGCTGCTTTTCTTGGCCCCTTAAAGGGAACTTGGCTAAGACTTAAGCAGAATGGAGCCCCGGTCCTGCCCTCCGGAGCCCCGGAGCGCCCACCCCGGCTCCATGTGAAGGGGTCCTGGGTGCTCAGGACGGCCAGGGGGCCAGCGGGGGTCTGGCCAGCTGTGTGAAGGACCCACCTTCCTGTTAGCCCGAAGCCCCCTTCCTCTGTGGCCCTCGGCAAGTCCGCGTGGACAACGGCCATTCGTGTGTGACATCGGAAAACAGGCTAGGGAGAAGGAGGGATGGAGTGAGTCACGGCTTTTCCAGGCTGGGCTGCATGGCCTCTGCCCTTTGGCTGTGACTGCGTTTCCTAGGAGATGGGGGCACCCCCCCTCCTCCGGGGAGAGGAGGGGGGTGGCTGCTGACAAAGAGAAGCCCTGAGAGGGCAGGGGGGCTGCGCTCCCACTCGGCCCAGGACCACGGGAGGCAGACAGCCCGGGAGGGCGCCTGGGGGTGCAGGCATGCGGTCTTAGGGCTTCCCCGGAGCCAGCTGTCATGCTAGCCAGCCCGGAGTCCCTGGGGCCAGGTGCCCTGCTGCCGAAAGAAAGCTCTCGTAAATCCGTTCCTCCCCGCTGTCCTCCCCTCTGGGGGCTGGGATGGAGACACTGAGGGCAGGAAGGGTTGCCGAGGGCAGAGCCGGCCATGGGCGGGAGCGTGTCTGCTTTTGGCCGTGAAGCTGCCCGGGCTTGCTAGCTCCTGACGGGTTTCCTGGCTGATTGGCGGGGAGGCTGGGGCACAGACACAGCCTGGGGTGGGTGGGAACACAGCAGAGGCTGGCGCTGCCCTTTTCCAGCTGTGGTTTGGGCAGGGTGGGGGAGGAGGGGGCCCTGGCTGTGGCAGGTGGCTTGGCTCAGCCCCAGTGCTTGAAGGCCACAGACGTCCGTGGGGCAGTGACACTGACACTAGCACAGTGCCTTTGAGCCCCTGTGTCCCAGCCTGGGCGAAGGGACATTGTGGGGGACTCAGTGCCGGGGAGAACTGGAGGGGCGAGTGTCTACGTGTCCTCATGGACATGTGCTGATTGAAACCTGGCACTGTCGCCCTGCAGGTAGGCGACCACCTTTGGGGCCTCAGTTTCCCCATCTGTTTAATGGGAATGGCGGTAGTAGCCACCACATAGGCGTGCAGTGAGGATTCCACGGGGGAAGGCAGAGAACGTCCTCCGTGCAGTGCTGACTTAACGTTAATGATTTTGGGGGGTTCACCTGGATACTGGTAGGTATCACTCTCTTGGCTGAGGGCTGGTCTCCCTGACCTCAGCCCACAGGTCACCTTGTGGGGGATGGAGGGGGTCACCCCATCTTTGTATGTCTGTTGCTGGCGCAGGACGGCTGCAGGTGCTCCTCAAGCCTGCGTTCCCTGGGCCAGGGGGCTAGCGGGCTGGCTCCCTCTCCACACTCACAGTTCGAGACACAGTCCTCTTTGCCAGGAATGGCTGTGCCTGGTGTGGGAAGGGGGCTCGGAGGCCCCCCTGTGTCGCTGTTCTTTGTCATTCGGGAAGCTCCTCGCTGTCCCTGGAGGTGGGAGGGAAGGTGTCCTGTGGGTCCTCGGAGGTTCCATCACAAGGCAAATCGAAGTTTCCCTTTCTTACTGGCCCACCCCCCCGCCGGGCGAGGCTCCATCCTGGGTGGGGGTGCGCCACCCCTGTTCTATAGAGGAGGTGGCCGCAGCTCAGAGAGGTGGAGGGACTTGGCCCGGCTCTCACAGATCCTAAGTGGTGACCCTAGGCCACCAGGAGGTCTCCCTTCTCGGGCTTGGAACGAAGTGGGTTCCGCGAGACTTCCCTAAGCTTTCCCGCTGACTTTCGCATGGGCGCTCCTGTCGCTTCCTCCCGCCTCGTGGCCGCTCCCAGAGGCTGCCGGGATGTTCCCTTGCTCAGAAGGCCGCGCTGGCTGCTCACGGTGACGTCGTGTTTTCGGGCAACAGCGTGTGGAAGGCCCCTGCACTCTGAGTTGACCTCAGCTGCCCCCAAGGAGCGTCAGAGTGTGTACGCTTATGAGCGCCTGCTGTGTACAGAGCTGGAGAAGGTGTTCGCAGAGGATCCGAGTTGCCCCTTTGTCCTGCCTCCTGGAGCTGGCGGGCCGTGTGCTTTCATTTTCTTCCTTTTTTTTTTTAATCCAAAATGCCTGGAAGCCACCTTGGGTTTAATTAAGCTAATTAGGTAGGGCCACAATCTGCTGATCCTAATGAGGGATCACGTGTGTCCGGGCGGCTCTGGCCGTGAGGTCCCCAGGTGGCTGATGCCAGCACAAAGCCCTTGCGTTGGGTCGGCAGTTTGAACCTGGAGGGCACCACCCGGCCAGCCCTGGCCCACACCGCCCTGGCGGCCTCCTCCCCGGAAGCCTGTCTGCGGGGACGGGAGTGGGACCCCGGGGCCCACCGGGCTTCCTCTCCTGCGCACCCCTCCGGCGCCAGCCCCTTCCCGACCCTGCCTCGTGCCCGCCGCCCCCGGGGCCCCGGACCTTCGCCGTCACGTGCTGCGTCCCTGCTGCTGCTAGACCTCTCCTTCCTCGTAGCCTGGTTCTTCCCGGAGGAGCTGGTCTACGGCCCCTCCTGCCCCAGACGTGGCGAGCCTGGCCGTGGCCCCCGGCAGACCCGGGTGTGTGGCTAACCTTGCACCTCCCAGTGGGTGCCACGCTTCTGTGCACTCGGCAAGCCCAGGAGCTGTGTGTTTCCCGTCCCCTCCTCCCCGGCCCCTCCAAGCTGTCGTCTCGGGGTCCCGCGGAGTCGGGCGCCCCTTTGTTCCTTTGCGCCTTCGCCGCTGTGTTCCTTCTTCCCGAGGCAGCTTTGTGCTTGCCGAGGGGCCAGGGGCCGCCGCCAGGCCAGAGGGGGTGCCCGCGGGGTCGCCCCGACGCCTGGGGCTGCAGCCTGCCCGCGGCCCGGGTCCTGAGGCTGAGGCATGCAATGCCAGGGCAGCGGCGCAGGGAGCAAGCCTCGTGTCATGGAAACCGGGGGCCTCTCAATTCTGAGAGCACGTCGGACTTACGGACAAGCCCTGCGCGCTGCACACATCACTTTTTCTCCACCCAGGGGAGGGGAGTGGGTCACGCGGTCCCCGAGTGTTTCGGCATGTCGCCCCCAAACAAGGGCATTGCCCCCCAGGAGGGCAGTGCAGCCTCTCAGTCACTCACGCCTCAACGGGTGTCCCCCGAAATGCCCCCTGAAATGCCGGTTCAGCAAAAGAGGTTGCCCGAAGGGCTGGCTGCCCTCCTCTTCGCCCCTGCGTCTGGGACGGCCCCTCAGCCTTCCCTTGATTTTCACGACCCTGGCATCCTGCAGGCCCCAGGTGCCTTTAGCTGCAGAATGGGGTCCCTCTGCGGGGTCCCTCTGCGTGCCCTTGCGACTGGATGCGGGCTCTGCGCCTGCGCAGAGAGCTCCTGTCCCCCGTCATTCATAGCTTTTCTCAGGAAGGGACTTGGGACAAGGTGCACCTCCAGTCGTTCCTTCCTCTTTCTTCTCTTCCTCCCTCCCTCTCTTTCCGCCAGTTCGGATCCCGGTTCCCTGTTTTATTCCTCGGGTAAAGTCTGTTACCGTCGTCACTTGTTTTCGCGCTCGTGCTCTCTTGGGTTCGACCCGGGAACTGCTTCAGTCTTCCGTGCGCCTTTTTGACACGTTCGCAGCATCTTGGGCGCACTGCCCTCCTTCCTGGCGCGACTCGTCCAGGCTCCTTCTGTATTCTCCGTTGTCCCTGCTCGGAGTCGGCCGGCCTCCCTCGCGGAGACGGGTGTTCAGAAGCGAGATCTGGGTGCCGCGTGCGCACCGCCGCGGGGCGCTCTCTTTGGTCAGAGCTGGTGGTCTGTGTGTGTGTGTGTGTGTCTGTGAGTACACACAGGCGTACGTGTGTGCTGTGTGCATGTGTATCTGGACACGTTTACAGTTGTCTGTGTTTTCGATGTGTATCAGTGCTGGTCAACGCAAGTGAGCCGGGTCTGTATTTAAAACTCCTGCTGATGGTGTGAAAAAAGTAAAAAGAATGCAGAACTCTACTTTTAATGATACATGTTATTTAATTTCATGCGTTCTCAACAACGGGTGATAGGACCTTGTTGGAAATCAGATCTTTGGGGGCAGAGAAGTCAAGTTCTTCTTATGTGTACTAAAGCACAGATGCGCATGCGTACAAACCAGATCCACAGCACCTCCGTCGTCTGGAAATTTGATATGGGTGGGGGTGGGGGGGGGAGATTATGCAAAGGGCCTGAAAAGGCTCCTTAGTGTGGCGAGGACACCTGGGGAAACCTGCATCTCGCCAACAATGGGTTTTCCACGGGCAGGGGTGGCTGAGGGCGTGGGGGCGAGGCCGGTGGGGGCGGGGCCTGGCAGAGGCCGGTGGGCCCCGTGGGCCCTGTCTTTCGCACTGGCCTGACCAACTGGGGGGGGGGGCCCTTGCCAGGCTGTGTGGAGCAGGATCCTGAGGCTCGGGTGTGGGGTCGGCGGGAGAGGCGCTGGGCCCTCACCTGCCCCGGGTCTCAGGAAGCCACAGC